GGCCAATGTTAAACAATCACCAGGAAGAGCTTGACTCACCCTTGGCTGTTCTTCACAAACAGTTAACAGAGGTCTAAATACAACAATGCCCTGATATCTTGGAGACAACAGATGATCACAGCCCACACAAAGAAGCAAGATAAAGTGGTAGAAACAAGGGAGCAGGACACAGACCCAGAACACATTCCTGAGGAAGAAGCAGCATTGGAACTCTCTGGTAAGGAATTCAAAATAATTATATTTAGATATCTTCAAAGGATTGAGAGACAGGACAAGGAAAACACAGACAAAAACCTAGAAGAATTTTGGAAGAAAATACAAGAACAAAATGACAAAATAAAAGAAAAATTAGAAATGATTCTGAATCTACAAGTAGAAATCCAGATCAATACTAAATTGTTAGAAATAGATAACACATTGAAAGGGCAAAGGAGTAGAATTGATGCAATGGGAGGCAGAATTAATGAGAGTGAAGACAAATACCTGAATACTTCTTTGGAAAGGGATCAATCAGAAAAAAAGATCAAAACAAAATGAAGAAAGCCTAAGGTTCATGTGAGATACCATCAAAAGGAATAACTTATGTGTCATTGGAATTCCAGAACAGGAAGAGAAAAATAAAACCACTGAGAAAATTGTCCAAGAATTTTTGGAGGAGAACTTCCCTGATATGATGAAAGTTGAGAACATATCCATTGAGGAAGCCCAACAAACCCCAAACAGGTTAGACCCCAAAAGAAAATCACAAGACATATCATCATCAAGCTCATCAAAACCAAGGACAAAGAAAGAATCCTGAATGCAGCATGGGAAAAACAAAAGTTACCTACAAAGGACAACCAGTGAAAATAAGCTCTGATTTCTCAGCAGAAACCATGCAAGTGAGAAGGCAATGGGGTGGTATATATAAAACCCTGAAAGGGAATAATTTTCAACCAGGAATAATGTACCCAGCAAAATTGTCCCTCAAATATGATGGTGAAATTAGGAGATTTCCAGAGAAGCAGAAACTAAGGGAATGTGTTAAAACCAGACCAACTTTACAAGAGCAGTACGGCGATTCCTTCAAAAGTTAGAATTAAAAATACCATTTGACCCAGCCATTCCATTACTGGGTATATATCCTAAAGAAACAAAAGCCATGACAAGAACAGACATATGCACACCCATGTTCATTGCAGCACTATTTACAATAGCCAAAGGATGGAAACAAACTAGATGTCCATCAACAGAGGAATGGATAACCAAATTTTGGTACATACACACAATGGAATACTATGCAACCCTGAAGAATAACCTAGAATCTGCAAAACACAGCATAACGTGGATGATCTTGGAGGACATTATGCTGAGTGAAATAAGTTAATCACAGAAGGACAAATAATGTATTAGTCCATTATTGTAAAAGTCAAGGAAAGGTTTATCTATGGAAGGAAATTTTCTTTGTTGGTTGCCAGAGGTGGGAGAGGAGGGGAGGGAACACTGATAGATAGGTAGAGATAAGTATTGATTTGGGTGAAGAGAAGGGCAATGTACCAAATGTGAGTGATCACATTTGAAGAAGAGGAAGACATAGAGAGGTACATGAGATGTACAGACAACAAAGATAAACCCTTTTGCACACACAGTACTGCGTTGTCAGTGAAGGCAAACATGGGTATACAGGTGGATAGATGGGTGAACAGGCTGAACTATTAGATATGTCTATGAAGCGGGGAGTGTACCCAAGACCATGTATAGGGTTGACAGACAATGGTCCTATAAGTGTATTTGTATGATCTGAATTCCCAGGTGAATAGTAGAACTGACAAGGGACAAGGTTATAGTTACTTCTTGGTCATAGCCAGCTACCCAGAGGGACCAAGTAGTTGAACCTGTGGGCTCGGGACTGTAGTCACAGGGGACATCAAGCTCAACTAGCAAAACATATTACACAAAATATTGTTCCACCTCCTACTTTGGTGAGTAGTGACTGGGATCTTAAAAGTTTGCAAGCAGCCATCTAGATGCAACGATGGGTCTCTCCTTGTCCAAAGCAAAGAAGAATGAAGAAAACCAAAGATTCATGGAAAGAATTAGTCCTAGCAACTGGTACACCATGTGATCCACAGCCTATATGACTATGAGACTAGAAGGATTAGATGGTACCCGGCTACTACTATCAACTACTTGGAGGGAAGAACAATGTGGAAAACAACTCAAAATTATTTGGCCAAAAAAAAAAAAGGGGGTGGAGGACTAGGTTTGCTGGTCTGATAGAGCTTGGTGGAACCACTGAGACTGTGGCCCCTAGCTGCCTGTCAGTTCTGGAATTGAACCCACACCTGTGGCTTCTAGCCAAACAAAAGACAGGCATATGAGTTGAACATTTACCTGAGGTAGATATACACTCCTTGGAGAGAACAGTCATGGGAGAAAGAAGGGCTATTTATGCACAGGAACACAGCTCAGGGGGCAGGAGTGCATGGAGGGATGGACACAGGGAAGAGGTAACTGTGGGGAGGAAGTGGGAGAGGAGCTATTGCAGTGTGGTAAATTGTAGTCAATGTCATGAGACAAAGTGTATGTGAACTGCTGTATGGAAAGTGAATTTGCTCTGTAAATTTTCACCCAAATCACAATTTAAAAAAAAGTATTGTCAACGGGGGTGATAACAAACCCAAGGGGTGAAAATTGGTTTATTTTTAGGGAGGGAAGTCAAAAATTCTTACTTTTTTATATATAAAGGACAGATTTCATACAGTACCTAAACAGATATGCAATATATCTTCGGTGTTTTATCTTCATGGAGAGAAAAAATATCTAAAAAGTCTCCTTTGATGGGGTGTAGTAATGAAAAAAATAGGTTGAAAACAGTTAAATGAGAGGGTCAGTAATATGAATATCAGTGAACTGGGGGGAGTCAGATAACCAAAGCTGAAATCAACTCAGTCATTGACTCTCTGTGTCAACTTGCATCATTCATTTCTCCTTTGCAGTTTTCAGGTTTTCTTCAGATGTAAAATAAAATGTTAGACTGAATGATCTCTGTGTAAGATTGTATAATGGTTAAGACTGTACTATGATTCTCAGTAGTTTGGCAGTTATGTAGTGATGTGATTTGGTAGTTATATAAAAATGTAAGTATCCTCTATGATTTGATCTGATGTGATCAGCCAATCAGTTGTAAAGGCAGTTGAGTGTGGCCTGCATCCAGTATCTCTGGTATATATGGAAGTTCTGGCAAAGCTCCCTTTCTTGCTCTGGATCCCCCATCTGGCTCGTTATCATCTGACCTCCAGTTCTTGGATTCATTAGCCTCTGCAGCCTGCAAGCCTGCCTCTGGCTCTTACCTGCCAGTCTAGGATTCAGCAGGCCCTGCAGCTAAGTGAATCAGGAAGAGCCTTTAGCATAAGGTCTGACCCACCGACTTGGGACTTGGCAGCCTGTACAACTGTGTAAGCCATTTTCCTGAGATAAATCTCTCTCTCTCTCTCTCTTTCTCCGCCCCCCCCCATATATATATACATATATGCTACACTGGTTTTGCTTTTCTAGAGAGCCTAACCTAATGCAATCTCTTATGTTTTCTCCAGCTCTTAAATTTTGAAGAGGATTTAAACTGGGTTTCCATAGAGTTATAAATTTCTGACTATGAAACCTATAGTAATTTATCAGATATTTGGAGACCATTAAAACTCAGTTTTCAGTAAAATAAAATGTCAGTGTCAATAGCCTTTAATGTCCATTTCTAGCCTTTTACCCCTTACTCATTATTTTAAGTTAGAATTCTAGAAGTACTACTCTAGTCCACTCTAGAAGATTCCATGATACAATGTTAGCCTAGGGAGACTATGGAGTTTTACCAATAAGATGCCCATCAAATGCTTTGAACTGTGCATTGTTTCTCTATTTGCACCTGATTTCTAGATATTAAAGTCCCTTTACAACCTATCTGAGTTGTCATATGAAAGAGAAAGATGCTCATAGTATGGTGAATGGAAGCAGGAATTAGTAAAAAAGTGTACCAGGTTCAGAAACAAAGACATCTGCCTACAGCATATGTAGGTGTCATCAATAGGGCAACCTTGTGTACACAGTTATTTGCTGCTATTCAAGAGCTAGGCCAATTGCACTAAGAAAACCTTTAATAGTGTAGTCTGACTCTTTAAGGGTCTTGGTTTCTCATCCTGGCCCTCCAACTATATTTAAAAGCCCTTTGAAGATCAGACAATGTATCTTTGACTCCTACATGTTCAGTGCCCACTTAAGTGTCCTGTACATAAAAGCCTCTTAGTGAATGTTTGTTGACTGTGTGACCATACAGATTTAAGAGGAAAAAATAAAACTCAAAGTCATAAATCTCTGAGTCCCTTACATTTTAGGTGGTCTGTACAGATGTGTCCACAGGCCAGAGCATTTATCTTCTTTTCCTTCTGGTATTTAATCACCTAGTGGTGTTTCCAGATAAGAAATGTAAACATAATTCATTACTTAACTGGAACATGTATAACTCATTCATCATAGGGTATCCATACACAGGAATTATTTCGTTTAATGAACGCAGTTGTAAATAAACGAGTTGCTATTGTGAAGAATTGCCACTGAATGGTAGGGATTTCTTGAATGCTGTCAACATTTGGAGACTATTAGAAGAGGGAACTGTATTTAATGACAAATTGCTAAATATTCAGAATTTCAGTGCATACTGAAAAGGTAATTCAACCCCTGGTTTATCCAAAGACTCTTGGAGTTACTGGCAATAAGGAAACCCTAGAAAGAATCTTTAGGAGTGAAAGAGTTAACTTAGTGTGTAAGCTTTATCTTTTGTCCAGTGGACTTGTGGTTTGCTGATTAAAGTCTGCAGTAAATGATTGTTAGAGACCTGTCGTTGCTAGCTGTTGCTAGTTGCTGCATTTCAAAGCCTGTTGACTCTTCTGAAAGGCTGTGCAGCATCTTTGATCCCTTTACTCATTTCAGATCTCAGGTTTGCCGGCAAAAGAGCTATAAGATCAATAAACATGAATGACGAAGACTACAGCAACGTCTATGACAGAATCCAAAAAGAGGGGATGTATGATGTTCCAGACCAGCCAGGAGAAAATGACAATCCCCTCTACTATGGCATCCGTGAAGACTTGAAGCCAGAAAACCATTTATATGACACCCAGCTAGAAACCTGTGAGTATGACTCTGTGTCAGTGTATGTCGTTAAGGGTGAGGAGAACAGACAAGACTCTTCCCAGCCAGAAGCAGAGGGCTACCTCCAGCCTGATGAGGTTCAGCCTGAGGCCCAGGATCCTAAACCAGCTGAGCTCCAGGAAGACAGAGACAACTTGATGAAAGAATTAGATTTAACAGCTCAGGCTCAGGAGCTTCTTTCAGAAGAGCCTTGTTCAGAGGAGCTCCACTCAGAGGATCCCCAGGAGAATGGAAGCATGATAAACGAAGACCTGCCTTCTCCTTCAAGCTTTACCATCCAGCAGAGTAAAGCTGTTTCCACCAGGGTGGATTCACCAACTGGCTATTCCATTGCTAATGATTTGGAAGAAATTGAAGCATCTTCCATGCACCCTGAGATTAACCTCTTTGTGAAGGTAAGGGCTGCCTTAGAAAGCACATCAGCACATGCAGATGTTTGAATTTGGATTTTATTTTGCTCCGAGTGTCCAGGGAAAGATACATAGTGTCATGATCCCTGGACCTCAATACACATTCAAAAGGCTAGGGCTGAGTAAATGGACTTCTCCAAACAAGAATTGGGAAGTACATATAAAGTTTTGTTTAATCACTGACTTTTATATGCTATGGACAAAGCATTTTTAAGAGTTCATTTATGAGTGAGCAGAAATTGTTGCTTGGATGCTTACCTTTATGATAGATGTTAAGTACATTTCCTGTCTGGTGAAATTTCCTTGTTAATGTGGTTTTTAAAAATGAAACCAAGGCTTGTGGGAGAAAGTCAAATCTACAGTTAGGCACTGGAGTTTCCTTCTGACATTCCTAAGGTCACAGATACTTCAAATATATGGTCAATAAATGTTACTACTGACACTGAGTTCACCCTTTTGTTACCAATATAACTAATGCATCTTATCAGTAGTAGTAAGAAAATTGCCAGTATTAATGTTTAAAATTTATGATATTTAAACAAAGAACTTTGATGACCTTTGTCTTAGATGGGTATTATAATAAAGATTATGTTAATGAATATTAAATTATAGAAAAAAATTTCAGTTATTTATTAATCAAGATGATAAAATCTCTTCCCCAAAAATTGTTCTCCCACACAATATTTATATATTTATGTGTAGTTAGCATATTAGTAAATACCGCTATTTCTGGCTAATCAAAGATTATTCCTGAGGACCTACAAAAATTCCAGTCCACACTCATTTCTCCCCTTCTTTGTTTCCAACACTTCTAATGAAATAGACTTTGTCAATTTAATACATTATCATTTTCTACTTTTCTCTGTTTTGTGTGTAAATCTATTTATTCTACTATAAGGTTCTTGAAAAAAATGCCTAGCTAACACTTATGCAGTTGACTGGATGCTGCTAAAAGATCAGTGATAACCACCCCCCTTGGGTTTCCAAGGTAATCTTTCTTGCAAGAAGTGGCTGGGGGGTTAGAACCGCCAGCCTTCTGGGTAGCAGTCAAATGCCTTAGGCACTATACTACCAGAGCTGCTTGTAAAGATCAGCAGTTTGAGCCTACCAGCCACTCCACAGGAAAAGATGAGACTCTCTGCTTCCATAAAGATTTACAACTTTGGAAACCCTACGGGCAGTTTTACTGTCCTAAAGGATCATTATGAGTTGGAAGTGACTTGATGGCAGGGGATTTGAGATTGTGGGATGAGCAGAATGAGGTGAGAATTCAGAGAGTGAGGACCGAAGTGTGCATGGAGGAGTCAGGAAAGGCTCCACAGATGAGGTGACATTTGAGCAGGGCATTCAAGCAGATGCCCACCCTCCATATCCACATAATCAAGTTACTGTTTGCAATAATATTTTAAAGTGAAGACTCAGAGTAATTTTTTGAAGACAGAAGCATCCAACCACGCAACTTCATGCAACAGGTCATCATCATCAACATCATCATCATCATCATCATCATCATCATCATCATCGGCACATCAAGACGTCATTTGTAGATTTGGTAAACGGTTGATCTCACCAGAAATTTGACTCACTGGTATTGAACCAAATAAAAGTAGTATGAAAGTTGGTATCTCCAGCTGGTACTAGCAATAGGAAAAACTGCTTAATAGTAATGTGTGGTTCCTACATTATTTAAGACTTTGTAGTTCTCTAAAGCAAATATTGGATTAAATTAACTCTTTAAGTGTACTTTTTTTTTCAATATATATAATAATGTTAACCTAGAGACCATAGAGTGTACTGTACCATAGACCTCTGCTCCTATGTGTGAACTCTTTTTAAATAATATTCAGCAGTGCTCAGTAAGAAGAGCTCTGGTTATAACCTTACTTCCCTGACCCTCTACCTCTCACCCTCACTGGAGTTCTTTATTCAATGTTGAATGGAAGGGTAATGTATAAAAACAGGTAAAACAGAAGCTGCTTTGCTTGAAGTGGGAGTGGAGAGTCTAAGCCTGGCCTGGGCAGGTCACTTCCTTCTCCCAGCATCACAGAGAAGATGCTGAGACCACTGTAGTGGGCTTGAGCATGCTTTATGTTTCATCAGCTTTCTAGGAGGCTGAAGACTATGCAGTCTCAGGGGTTTTTTCCCTGCACTGTTTTAGTGTAGACTACCTGGTCTGTATCTATACCTGTACCCATTTCTATTTGCTTCCACTTGTTCTAGCCAAGTCAGTGAAAATGTGCATGTTCGTAACTGCATAATGAACCAACATGTTATTGAGGCTCAGCCATTTCAGGGTGTTGGCCAATTACTTAATTCATTAAAATATATCATTTATATATTCATCCAACAGATAGTTGCCAGGCACTGGGTTTACAATGATAAAGAAAACAAAGTCCAGGCTCTCTCGGACTTTGCATACCAGTGGCAGAGACACTGAAGGACAACTAAATAATAAGTAATATAAATTATACCTGGTGGTGATAAAGCTACAATATTGTTGTTGTTAGGTGCTCTTGAGTTGGTTCCAACTCTTAGCGATCCTATGGACAGCAGAACAAAACACTGCCTGGTCCTGTGTCATCCTCATAATCATTGTTATGTTTGAGCCCGTTCTTGCAGCTGCAATGCCAATCCATCTCATTGATGGTCTTCTTTTTCACTGACCCTCTAATATGCCAAGCCTGATGTCCTTCTCTAGGAACTTTCTGGAAAGAGGAAAATAAGTATTTGCTCCATTATCATCATCTATTTAAGGAGTGAACAGCTATGCAGTAATAGTTTTGCTGTGAGTCTTCCTAATGTTATCTATTAAAAACAAACAAACAAACAAACAAAAACACCAGAGCTCCTTAATGTTATCTGTACAGGGGAAAAAATTAAAACATTTTTTTTTTTTAAATCCTAATTTCTAAAAATGCACCTACAGAAATGCCATCCACCAGTGGTTATCTCTGAGGGGTGGGATTTGTGAAAGAAATTTTACTTTCTTTTTTATACATTTCTAAACATTTTATTTATTTATTTATTCATTCACTGATTTATACAAAGAACGTGCATGTCTTTAAAACTCAGGAAAAACATAAAGTTAGTTCTGCAGTAAAATAAATTTTTTAAAAATTATAAAATGTATGTACTTGCCCACATTGCCCTGAATTGTGGGTGGATGTGTCGACACACAGGCCTTTAAGTTGGCTTTCCCCGTGTCCTAGCTCCATGGGGAGAAGGAAGAGACATGTATTAAAAGGCACATTTCCTCATTAACATGACTGGTAAAATATGATTATTTTGATAGTATCTTGTCCATGCGGCCTTCTAAAGATAGCCATAGAGGGAGAGATTTATATCTCAATAGAAGTCTCCAAAGCTGACAAAATGATCACTAGTTTTCTTCTGCTAGAAATGGTGTTATTTAGGCCCTGCCTTTAGCTCTTCTGATTCCAGGCAGAACTACCAAAAAAAAAAAAACCCAAACGCATTGCCATTGAGTCAGATCCGACTGATAGCGACCTCTCCTTGGGTTTCCGAGGAGGTATCACTACAGAAGTAGATTCCTCCTTCCAAGGAGTGGCTGGTGGGTTTGAACCACCAGCCTTCTGGTTAGCAGTCAAATGCCTTAGGCATTATGCCACCAGAGCTCCCAGGCAAAACTAGGTCACTGCCAAAATCAAACAAACACATAGCCCTCAAATTAATTCCAACTCACAGCAATGCTATAGGACAGAACTGCCCCATAGGCTTTCCAAGGCTATAATCTTCATGGAAACAGAACCCACCACGGAGCTGCTGGGTTAGCAGCAGAGTGCTTAACCACTGTGACACCAGAGCTCTTTTTTATTTATTAACAGGAGTGTGCAGTTTAAGAAATCTTGTTGACCCATAAGACTTTCCTTCCTTTTCTGCCACCATCTGAGGGCCTGTGGCTTCTTTCTTTACCCAAAACCTGGTGAAAACAGGTCCCTCAACTTCTGTGTCTTTCTTTGTACTAAATTTTCACAAGCAACACATTCAGTCCATTTGCCTTAGAGGCAAACAGAGATATATGGTTACTGGTGAGAAACTGTAAAATCATATTGAGGAAATGACAAAAGGAAACTGGATTTGGATGTTGAGATGGGGCAAACTGAGTGGAAATGGTGTTCCCAGCAGTGGACTTAGAATAAGCAAAGGAGCAGTGAAAATGTGCATATGTATGACTAGATCCCTTTGGCTAGAGTGGAGAGAACGTCTGCATAGGGGCAAGGCAGACAGTGAGGGTGAAGAACTAGGAGTGTAGCCTTAAATGGCAAACTGAATGGTTTGGACTTTACCCTGAAGGCAACAAAAAGTAACAGAATATTTCAGAGGAGTATCTCATGAGCAAAGCGGTATTTAAGGTGATTGGTAAACAAATTAAAAAAGCATTACCACCTGTGTATAGAGCAGAACAGTAAACCTATCAAGCTTAATTTATATTAACCAAGGTCAAACATTTACATGTAAAGTCATTGTATGTAACAAAACTATATTTTTTATAGTTATTTAGTCATTAAATTGATCATCTGGAGATGCCTGAATGTTTAGATTTTTGGCATCACATAGACAAATTATGGCAAAAAAAAAAAAAAAAAAAAAGGATCCATGTGTGATGCTGATTTATTTGACTGCTAACCAGAAGCCTGGCGGTTCATACCCACCAGCCACTCCTTGGAAGGAAGACTGTGCAATCTACTTCCATAGAGATACTGCCTTGGAAATCCCAGGAGGGGTCATTATGAGTAGGAATAGACTTGACAGCAGTGAATTTAGTTTTTTGGTTTTATATATCTACCTAAAGGAACTCTGGCGGTATAGTGGTTAAAGCATTTATTTGGCTGCTAACCAAAAGGTCGATGGTTTGTTGGTTTGAACCTACCAGCCACTTTCTGGGAGAAAGATGAGGCAGTCTGCTTCCATAAAGACTTATAGTCTTGGAATCCCATTGGGGAATCACTATTAGTTGGAGTCAA